GTGAATTGATCAGAGGATATAGGAGTAGAATGCGGCCACATTCGTAATGAGGTCGAACTCACTGCCTCACAATCTTGTGAGGTAATTAGCAGGAAAGGCACAGACTTGGGAATCATGCAAGGCCCTCTGTTGGCCATTTAACTAGCTCTTGAATTTGTGGACATGTTATTTAATCTCTCAAAGCCTCAGCCTCTTCCAATCAGCAAACAGGATATGGCGACATTTAATTCATAAGGGTACCTGAGAGTTAAATGAGGTATTTACATAACATGGGGCAGAGTGCACTCAACAAATATGACCTCTGATCTCTCCTCACTTCTCTCTCCGGAACTCCAGTCTGCTCTTTGCCATCTGCCCCCACACCTTGCTTCTTAGCCATTCCCTCTCCTTGGCGCTTTGGAAGCATTCCTCTCCACCTGCTCCTTCAGCTCAGCCTACAAATGTCCTCAAACCCCAAGCTAAAAATAGTTCCTCTCTCAGTCCAGCTCCCCACCCCCTTAAGCTACCTGGAAAGTAGCTTTGCTCTTCATCCCCTTACCATCATACTCCTCAAAGGAGGCGTCAGCATCTCCCAGTCTAGGCTGTATCAGGGGCCCTCAGCTCTAGACTCTGCGGTGAGAGATGGGAGTAAGGAAGGGGCCAAGACTCAACCACTGTCTCCCAAGAGGCAGGATCCACAGTTGTTGCGGCATCAGCACAATGAGGATGGCTCCTACCTCCGAAACTCACTTTACTCTTCAGCTTTTGCCACCTAGCCAATGTTCCAATCCTTCCCCTTCTGCTGGAGCTTCTTATAAAACCACCAAAGCCTGAGGTCTCTCATCAGGCCTCATCCTGTGCTTAAGCAAGCTAAACCCTGATCCAGCAGGCCCTCCCACAGCTAAAAACCTAATGAAGCCTCTAACCCATTCCCACTGAGCTACTGATGTCTCTCCCCTGATCCAAAATGCCAAATGTCTCCCTACTGCCCACAGGAGAAGTGTGAACACTTGAGCAAGTGTGTTAAAGCCTACCGCGATCTGCTTTTTCCTTCTTCACTTCTTTCTCAAACCACCTGGGCTGCAGACATACAGAATAAATCAGCACTTTCCAAGTATGCCCCATATTACCCTTATTTGTTGTATGGCTTATGCTAATTCCCATCGTCTGGGAAGCACTTCTCCCCCATTTCTGCTTAGTAAATAGTTGAATCCATCCTTCTCATTCTGCCTCTTCGGCCTTCCTATCAGAAATAATTTAACTTCTCTTTACTCTCATTATTCTTCCAATTTCTATTAAGTTAATGACATCATTTGACTTGCATTGTAGTTACATATGCTTAAGTTTATCTCCTTGACAAGGCTGTCTGATTCTTTTTTTTTTTTTTTAAAGATTTTATCTATTTATCTGAGAGAGAGAGAAATCGAGCACAAGCGGGGGAGGGGCAGAGGGAGCCGGAGAAGCAGACTCCCTGCTGAGCAGGAGCCCACCCCAGGACCCTGGGATCATGACCTGAGCAGAAGGCAGACTCTTAACCGACTGAGCCCCCCAGGCGCCCCAAGGAGCATTCCTGATGGAATCCTAAATACTTGGGCCTCCTTTAGAAGCTGTGCCTTCTCTTCATTTCTGCATCCCTGTAGCGACAACAAAGCACAGCAAGCAGGCGGGCTTCCGCCAGTGGTTCAATGCTGTGCTGACACCTGCTGGTCACATCTGGTTTGGCCGCCCTGTCTCCAGCACCTTCCTCTCTAGGATTAAGGGTGGGGACAGTCCATGCCACCCCTTACCCAGCCAAGTACCGGAAGCCTATGTTCGTGGTACCGCTGCCCTGAGCACCACCCTTCCCTGGAGACTCCAGGAACACACTCACATCTGCTGGTCTCTGGCCCAACTCGGCCACGTCCAGCCTAATCTTCAGAACTTCCCCCACTGACCCCCACCCTAGCAATTTGTACTTTACATCCTTCCCAGTACCACAGAAATATAAGAAGAAGATCTCAGGAACTGGGCATCAAGGAAATTAAAGAGGCAGACAATTTGAGAACAGAGGATGTGCAATCCTTCCTCCTAACCTCGCAAAACCAAGGCTATTTCCTACAGAGTGCTATTCCTTTTAACCTTTGTTGCATTTCTAGGAGGCTCTCGGGCCACAGACTTGTCTCGAGGACAGTGTGATGAACAGGAGGTTGAGCACAGAGTAGGTAGGCGGGGCTTGAGGGGTGGGGCCAAGCCAAAGGGCCTCTCACTTAGGAGCTTCTCCATTCTGTCAGCTCTCCCAGAACGTCCAAGGCAAGACTGGCACCCAGCGCACGCAGCAGGTGAGGGGCCATCAATGACAGAAGGGTAGAGGCTTTAGGGGTGATGGTGGCAGAAGAGTCCCAGCTCTGTCAGCCTGAGCCTTCCATGTTGTGAGACTCTCACTTGACAGAATTCTTGGGTCCCCAGCAGAGGCCCAGCTCAGTCTTCCCTGGGGCAAGGCAGCCTCAGAAAGACATGGTTTGGGACGGTACAGAGGCAGGGCAGAGGCATGGGGGTGATACGGGTGTGTGACAGAGTACTGAGAGATGTGAGGACATCATAGGAGACACGGAGGTAGACACAATGGCCAGAGGGAGAGCTTGGCCAGAGGATCGCAGGGCAGGACCCAGACAAGAGAAAAAGGGAGGCTGAAACAGGAGGGAGAGGACAGTGGACCAGATAGATGTGAGATAACCACGGGTGCAACGAAGAGCTGGGTAACAGGAAGGCCAAGGAGGAAGGAAGGCTCGCATGGAGCAATCTCCTCTTCCGGCTGTGGAGCCCGGTCCAGAAAACCCCAGGCAAGGCCAGGAGCAAAAAGTGAGGTTTCAGCTTCCCACTGGACTGATACAGCGGGGCAGGACCCTCCCCTCAACAGTACCCATCTCCCCTGTGCCTTCAGACTCCCATTTTGGTTTGGGGGAGAGGGCGAGGCTGCTCCTCACTGCGGTAACAGCCACATCCTGCAGAGCAGGGGAGGGGGAAGTAAGAAGCAAAACAACCAGAACCACGGGCAAGGACCATGGGGAGAGAACCCTGGATATGCGGCGGTGATGTGCCACCAGGAGGGTCCTCGGTTCAGTCCCAGCAGAAGACCGTGGGCCTCTAGTACTACCTGGCCCCCCCGGAGGTGTTTTTTTCTCATGCTTCCTTAGTCTGTATCAACCTCATTGAAAGCGTTCCAGGGAAGGTTTCTTTGGGTTCTGTAGTTCGAAGCCCATTTTAATCATTTGCTAGTGACTTTGGCCAAGTTGCTTGATTTCTCTCAGCTTCAGTGTTCTCATGGCAAGATGGGGATGCCTACCTTACAAAGGGTTGGGAAGACTGGGACAATTCCCATAAAGCACTTGGCACATATGTTCTCAATAAACGTGAGTTATTATTATCAGGACTCCTGGGACCCCTACCTCACCCACTTCCTTAAAGGCGGTACGGCACATGAGCGGCCACGGACTTTTGGGAGTCAGGAAGATGGTTGCGTTTGACCTCGGGTAAATTTAAAGCAAGCCTCAGTTTGCTCGGCTGTAAAGCAAGGAGAGTAACAGCCATACCTCATAGATGTATGGTACCCAGTCAGTGTCCCCAGTGGTTGCTGTGACAACTAGCCGCCAGGTGAGGCTTATCTTTTCCCCTGTAGCCCAGCAACAGCCGACTTCCCCTTAAGGCTTCACTTGTGGGGGCTAGCAGACTGTGTGCCCTCACGCCCCCACCAAGGCTAGCATGCCCCTCTGGGAAGTGTAGAGATCGAGATTTCCTACAGTTCCACAGGAAAAGAAATGGGAACAAGGCAGAGAAGACTGAGGGGGCCCAGGAGGCAAAGATGACAAAGAAAGATGACAATGAGATAGAAACCAGAGAAAGGGCGAAAAGCCATTTCTCTCTTTCTAAGGAAGCCTGTGGCGTTTCTTCTAGTGTCTGACCGCAGACCCCCCCCCCCTTCCCCAGGAACTATGGAGTCCTTCAGCTCAAAGAGTCTGGCACTGCAAGCGGAGAAGAAGCTACTGAGTAAGATGGCAGGTCGCTCGGTGGCGCATCTGTTCATGGACGAGACGAGCAGTGAGGTGCTGGACGAGCTCTACCGCTTTTCCAAAGAGTACACGCACAGCCGGCCCCAGGCGCAGCGCGTTCTCAAGGACCTCATCAAGGTGGCTGTCAAGGTGGCCGTGCTGCACCGCAGCGGCTGCTTCGGCCCCGGCGAGCTGGCCCTGGCTGCCCGCTTCCGCCAAAAGCTGCGGCAGGGCGCCATGACCGCGCTCAGCTTCGGCGAGGTGGACTTCACCTTCGAGGCGGCCGTGCTGGCCGGCCTGCTGACCGAGTGCCGGGACACGCTGCTGGAGCTGGTGGCGCGCCACCTCACGCCCAAGTCACACGGCCGCATCCGCCACGTGTTCGATCACTTCTCCGACGCCAGCCTGCTCACGGCCCTCTACGGACCCGACTTCACTCAGCACCGGGGCAAGATCTGTGATGGGCTCCGGAAGCTGCTGGACGAGGGCAAGCTCTGACGGCCCGGGACCCAGCACGTCCTACCTTAGCCGCAAGGCGCACTGAGAAAACCACACCGAATGGGCTCTCTAACCCTGCTCATCTGCACTAATGCTCTTCAGTCCTCAGGCTTCAGTCTTTCCCCAGAGTGCTTTTGCCTCTGAGACCACCCCAACCCCCCAACTGCTGGTGGAGAAGAAGCAAAGCTGAGGGTTGAGGCCTCTCTCCCACTCCAGCCCCAGGACAGGAAACAAAGCTGCCTGAAAAAGACGAAGTGAAACTTGGATCTCTATTTCCCCCATAAGGGACATTTGAAACAGGGAAGCCCCCTCCATTGTGAACCAGGGGAAGAGGCATAGCCCAACTAACCCTTCAGGGGACACTAAAGACAGAAGGGCCCTCCTAGACCTCCAGCTCCAGGCAGAGCGTGGACAGATACCAGAGGCTCTGTTCCAGAGCGCAGGAAGAAGGGGCTAGGGCAGGGGGGATTCTCACAGGGGAAATAAAACTACTTAACATGCACAGGGCTCAATGTTTAATCTCTCCAGCTTCTTGTACCTTACGACCATCACGGAGGCAAGAGATACAGAAACACCACTTATCTCACCTCTCACCATTTCCATACGGGAGACTGAGGCATAGTTCCACGTATCACTGGGGTTCCCTTGCCTACTTCTGCTTAAGAAACTAAACAGAACAAAACAAAACAAAAACCAACTGTACCGCAGATCAGTGCTACAAATTGCAAATAAATATGCAGTGAGGAGCAAGGCCTAGATCAACAGGCTCTGGTGGGGAGGGAGTGTAACAAAGAAACTCCCACAACAAAACGTCTCCCCCAACTGTCCTTTTCTTCAAACTCCAAGGTAATTCTTCTTTCATCCCTTGCCTCACACAGGCTGAACAGAGGAGCAGATTAGATGGGTGAACTGGTGGCATGGAGAGTTCTGGTCCCTACTTTGCTGTTTTTTGTCAGAACGAGAGTTATGAAAAAGTTATGAACTGGTTAGTCAGAACTGAGCCCAAACACTTTACTTTGAGATTGGGGGAAAGGCCCAGCACTGTCTGCCGTTCTCTGCAGAAGGGCTAGGTCACGGATTGCCCCCTCCTCAGTAACATGCTTGCCTAAGAAGGTGGCGAAGGTGGGGTACCGGCAGTCACTGGCTCTCTGGTCCTGGACTCCCCTCGCCCCAGAACTATAGAAATCCCATTTTTCAGTTACAAGAGGGAAACAATAAGATACAGCAAACAAATACTACTTCAATATAGCACCAAATAAATTAGGTATTATAGTCGGAAATGGGGAGGAGGCTGGGGGCTGGGGGAGTCCTTATCTCCCTGCTCTAAGGCCAAGGAATGGTAAAAGGGATGGGAAAGGCAGCCGGGATGTAAAAAGAGCCTTTTGAATCTAAAAGACAGCTCTAGATTCAGCCCAAGAACTGAGGAGGATTCTATTCCCCATCCCCAGTAAAGCTTTCCCAGGCCAAGGAACTCTAGATCGACAGGAGGCTGGGAAGATGGCAGGAGGGAGGGAGGTGGGCTGGGAAGCCATGTTCTTGAGCCTCACCTCGGGCTCCTCTCCCCCTCAAGTTGCTCCTTCAACATCTTCTCTCAATCAGTTCTGGGGACATCAGAGTTTGAAGATTTCATCCTCCTGGTCCCGAAGCGTCCGGGTCCGAGCGGTCTGGGTCAGCGGCACTGGACCTAGGACTGCTCGCTGCTGCATCCGTGGGGGGCTCAGGTGAAGGCCTGCACCCTCCCCAGGTACACTGCGGCTGAGGAAAGGGGGCAAAGTGACAGGTCAGGGGAAGAACCTGAGAAAGGGCCCAGTGAAGAGGTACATGGGAAGCTGTCCTCCCCTCCTAATATACATGAGCTGCTTGCTCTGAGATGGAGTCTCATTACCCTCTGGATAAACTCTAACCCTAATGCTCCTTCATGGATCATCAGAGCTACACCACCACTCACCTACTTTACCCCAGTGAGAACAGAGAACCATTTCCTGCTGCTCTACCCATCCCAGCAGCCACTGGCTCTGTTGTTTCAGGGCCACCTGGGCGAAAGGCTTTCCCCTGCTTCTGCTGACTACTTGTGTGTCCGGTCAGGTAAGGCTGCAAGGAGGCAGAAGTCTATGGAGGGGCTGAAAAGGAACCGTTCAAGACTCACCCACTTTCCCCCTTTTTCAGCTTCTGGGCGGCAGCCTTCTTTGACAGGCTGATCTGTGAATCAAGCTTCTTCAGGAAATCAGAGGCAGAGAGGTCATGGATGGGAGTTGGGGGTTCCCGGCCAGGTGTGGGAAGGACTTCCCCGTTAGCACGGCCTGAACCTGTCTCTTGTTTCTTCCCGCCAGCTGAGGGTGGCCGAGCTTCATCCTTACTTGACTGTGCCTCTTCCTCTCCATCCTTCTCTTCCTCAGAATCCAAACCATTGAACAGCTCTCGGGGCTCTGTCAGGATGGGGATGTAGAGGGTTTTCTTCAGGAAGATGGAGTCATTAGTATAAAGGCGGTTTGCACGCTTAATCTGTTCCATCTTTAAAAAAAAGTCACCGCAATTAATGACAGTAATAATATCAATCTTCTATCTGTTCACCATCTCATGCCTTTTAAAGTGATCGTACAGATTCTCATCTGACCCTGTAACAACCAAGCTAAAATACAAAGGGCTGATATTAATATCATTCCTATTTTATTGATCAGCGGTTTCCATACTTTTTGGTGTTAGGGTCCCTTGACATTATTAAAAACTATTGAGGAAAAAAAGCTTTCATTTATGGAGATTATAGCTATCAACATTTAAGGTATTATAAACTAAAACTGAACAAACTGAAAAACGTGTATTTCTTTTAAAATAACTCATTATAGGGGCACCTGGGTGGCTCAGTCGCTTAAGCATCTGACTCTTGATTTTGGCTCAGGTCATGATCTCAGGGTTGTGGGACTGAGCCCCGGGTTAGGTCCTGGCTCAGCAGGGGGTCTGCTGGAGACTCTCTCTCTCCCTCTCCCTTGGCCCCCCATACTCACTCTTGCTCTCTCTAAAATAAATAAATCTTTTAAAAAAATAACCATTACATGTTAACATAAATATTTTAATGGAAAATAACTATTTTCCAAAACAGCAACAAATGGAGCAAAAAGAGAGGCACTGTTTTACATGTTTGCAAGTCACTTTAATGTCTGACTTAACAAAAGACCACAGAAGATTCTCCTATCTGCCTCTACATTCAATGGGCTGTATATTAAATATCTTATAGCTTCTGGAAAATAGAGTACACTCATGAGAATGAGAATGAAAAAGACAGAGCCTTATTATCATTACTATGAAAATAGTTTTGACCTTGTGATCCCTGAAGAGTCTCAGGGACTCCAAGGGATCCCTGGACCTCACTTGAAGAACGTCTGTTAAAGATGAAGGAACTGAGGCTCAGAGAGGTTAAGTTACTTGCCTAATACTACCCAGTAAGTTAATGACAAAGCCAGAACTGGAACTCTGGGCCTTTTTACTCCTTCTGCAGATATTCTTCACACTAATACTAATAATTTCACTGACCAAATATTTATTTAGTACCTATTTATTCATCACCGAACATAGTGATTGGCATTACCTTCCACTAGCCACCCAAGGTAGAAATATCAATGCCATCCATAATCACTCTTTTCTTTCACCACCCATACCGAACCGGTCAACAAAAGTGCTGCGAAAATCTCTCTCCTGTCTAGTCTGACCTTTATGTTGACGACCATTACCTTAGAACAGATTCTTAGTATTTCTCATCCGGGCATTACAACCGTTTTTTTAACTGGTCTTCCTCTCTCCACTTCTATGTATCTCCACCCCACTAACATCTATCTTTCTAAAAAAAAAAAAAAATTAATCTGATCAACCTACTACCCTGCTTTATCAACCTCCTGTGGCTCCCCATTGGCTCAGAGATAAAATTCAAATTAGCATTCAAAGGTTCTCAATCTACCCCCGTAAGATGTCTAGTCTCATCTCTCTTCTTCTGCCACCTATACATTTTGCCATCCTGAACTTTTCATTTTTTTTCTGAACATTTTATGATCTTTCACACCTTTGTGTATTTATCTACCTAAATTACTTCTCCACCGTCCCCTTCTCTGATGGGAAAACTTCTTATCAACTATCACTCCCTTCGTGTTACCTTCTCCAGGGCTCCCAAGGTATGCTGTAAATATTGCCACATAATACCTACCCTATCATATTGTTATTCACCTCTTTGCATATTTGTCTTGCCCAAACTCTGTGAGTCCTTTGAGGGCAGGGATGCTGTTTCTGTATCCTAAGGCACGCCTCAGCATCACACAAACCTGGCACACAGCAGAAGTTCATTAATGCTTTATGAGTAAATAAACTAGATAACAAAATATAAAAACTGCAAATGTAGTATGTTAGTAAAAATCTTTGCTATAATGTTTAAAATAAAACTGGATTAATTTGAACAATAAAAAAAGTTAAAATTGGCTTGCAGTTTTGTACCCTTATTTTGCAAAGCGCTTTGATGCTATAAATTTTATTTTGCCTAGGTAATATCTTAAGTCCCAAGCTCCAAGATGTTATGAATTCTGTGAATTTTCTGGTGCTTTTATTATTTCCTAGAAGTACCATATAAGGCAACATCATTCCCCCTTTAAAAAGGATGCAACCAAAGCCAAACCCCAGAGGAGTCCTAGGCTGCTGAGCCAGTCTGCTGAGCTAGAAAGGCCATTAGAATCTAGTTAAACAGAGCAGTTCAAAGTGAGGATTTTAGAATGAGACAACCTGGTCTGAATCCTAGCTCTACTAAGCAGACTTGTAGTCTGTAGCAAGCTATGACCCTAAGCCTCGCTTTCCTTATCTTTAAATATCTGGGGACTAGTTACAACCACTTCATAAAATCTTATGGAGATAATATGAGATAATATATAGAACTTGGCATATACTAAGTGTTCTTTAATGACAGGTAGATGACAACTCAGGTAATTATCATTATTTAATACCTCTTCCTCATTTTACAAATGGTAAGGAAACAGGTCCCAGACAGATAAAGTGACTTATGCAGCCACTTAGCTGGTAAGCAGCAGAATGAGGCCAGAACCTGGAACCCTTCACTAGACTACAGAGCTTTTTTGTACTCAGAAGGGTACAGGGCTGTAAGAAAATCTCCATAAATAATAGCTGATTTACCAGTGGCACGGTTCCCTTCTTTGCAGAGCTTCTGAGCCTCTGCTGGGATGGAGGGGCCACTCTACTTTCATATCCACTTCCTTTGTTTAGGCCATGGCCTCTACTTGAAATGTTCACTTTCTTATCCTCCCAGTCTCCACCTGTGGAAATCTTAGCCATGTTTTCATTCGTTCAAAAAAACATCTATTAGCTTCTTTTTTTAAAGATTTTATTTATTTATTTGAGAGAGAGAGAATGAGAGAGAGAGAGCACGTGAGAGGGGGGAGGGTCAGAGGGAGAGCAGACTCCTAGCCGAGCAGGGAGCCCGATGCGGGACTCGATCCAGGGACTCCAGGATCATGACCTGAGCCGAAGGCAGTCACTTAACCAACTGAGCCACCCAGGTGCCCCAAAAAACATCTATTAGCTTCTATGTGCTGGGGACTATGCCAGACTCCAGAGATATAAAATTGAAAGAAGATAGTTCTGTCCCTTAAGGAAAGTACAGGTTATTGGAAAGACAAACATTTAAAAGGTACAAACAACTGGGGGCGCCTGGGTGGCTCAGTTGTTAAGCATCTGCCTTCGGCTCAGGTCATGATCCCGGGGTCCTGGGATCGAGCCCCGCATCCGGCTCCCTGCTTGGCGGGAAGCCTGTTCTCCCTCTCCCACTCCCCCTGTTTGTGTTCCCTCTCTCACTCTGTCTCTCTCTGTCAAAAAAATAAATAAAATCTTTTTTTTTAAGATTTTTTATTTATTTGACAGAGAGAGACGACAGTGAGAGAGGGAACACAAGCAGGGGGAGTCGGAGAGGGAAAAGCAGGCCTCCAGCGGAGCAGGGAGCCCGACGTGGGGTTGGATCCCAGGACCCCGGGACCATGACCTGAGCTGAAGGCAGACGCTTAACGACTGAGCCACCCAGGCGCCCCTAAATAAAATCTTAAAATAAAAAAAAAAGGCATAAAGGATTATAGGTTTGTAGAGGAGCTACAGGAAGGAACTTCTAAATCTTTCAAGGCCCCTTAAAATTCCCTTAAAATCTACACTTGTGTCCTTCCTTGTCCCTTTCCAGCTAAAAATTAATCTTTTTCTGATCTCCAACCCTTTTTTGTTTGTTTGTTTTTAAGATTCTATTTATTTATTTGAGAGAGAGAGCACAAGCAGGGGAAGCAGCAGGCAGAGGGAGACGGAGAAGCAGGCTCCCCGCTGAGCAGGGAGCCCAATGCGGGGCTCCATCCCAGGACCCTGGGATCATGACCCGAGCTGAAGGCAGACACTTAACTGAATGAGCCACCCAGGCGCCCCTCCAACCCTCTGTTAATACCTCTACAAACTCACCACATTCAGTCACCTGCAATCATTATCTGTGTCCCCATTCATTTCTCACTAGACTGCAAATTACATGAGGGCAATATCTACACATTTTATTTATGTTCCTATCTCTCGGGATGGTTAGAACAGTGCTTAAACATACCAAGCATAGAAATGTTGGCTAGGGGTGCCCGGGTGGCTCAGCTGCGGTTGAGTGTCTCACTCTTGATCTCTGCTCAGGTCATGATCTCAGGGTCGTGAGATGGAGCCTGGCATCTGGCTCCATGCTTAGCAGGGAGTCTGCTTGACATTCTTTCCCTCTCCCTCTGCCCCTCCCCACCCCATGCTTTCTCTCTCTAAAATAATAAATAAATAAATCTTTAAAAAATATTGGCTAAAAAATGTTAATAAAAAAATAAAAAGAGGGGCACCTGGGTGGCTCAGTTGGTTAAGTGACTGCCTTCAGCTCAGGTCATGATTCCAGGGTCCTGGGATCAAGCCCCGCATTGGGCTCCCTGCTCAGTGGGAAGCCTGCTTCTCCCTCTCCCACTCCCCCCTGCTTGTGTTCCCTCTCTCGCTCTCTGTCAAATAAATAAAATCTTTAAAAAAATAAATAAATAAAAAGAAATGTTGGCTAAATTTGACAGGATATGGAAAAAAACTCATCAGGTTCAATGCAATGTGTTTTTACACCTATTAAATATACCACACCCATAGCCTGAAATGCCTGGTGTAGAGAGTACCTGTTTTGCACCAAGGAGGCCACCCTACTGGAAAGAATGCACAGCGCTGAGGAGTAAAAAAAGAACCAGAAGAGATAGAGTTTAAAAACTTAGAACCAGGGGTGTCTGGGTGGCTCAGTCAGTTAAGCAATGGACTCTTGATTTCTGCTCAGGTCCTGGTCTCAGGGTCCTGGCGTGGAGCCATGAGAGGGGCTCCATGCCTGCCTGTGAGTCTGCTTGGGATTCTTTCTCCCTCTCCCTCTGACCCTCAGACCCCCACCCTCCACAAATAAATACATATATCTTAAAAAAAAAAAACAACTTAGAACTAGAGTGGTTAGAGTACTGGTCTCATAAAAACTTAGAATTAGAAACCAGCTCTCCATTGTTTGCTGTAAATGCTTAATCACTTGCAATTAAAAAGTTTCTATGTGGTTAATAGTACGAGCTTTGGAGTCAGACCTGTTTGAATTCCCACTCTAACACTCATTAGTTAGTTGACCTTGGTCAAATTGGTTAGCCAATCTAAGTCTCAGTTTCTTCTTCTGTAAACAGGGGACAATAATTGTATGTTTGAAAGGGATGTGAGAACCAAATGGGCCAATGTATGTAAAGCCTCTAGGATAGAGATGACATAATAAATAGAAGCAGCTCCTCTCCACTGGGATAGTGGCACAGGATTTGTCCTAACCAGACAGGGCAACACTGAGATGGGAAAACAAAAAGATAAAGGTGGATCAGACCACAGTTAGGAAAATTTCAGGGTAAGTTGCCTAGAAGAGTCATTACATTCTAATGAGGAATAAATTTCTAAATGGTTGTCTGCATCCCGATCGTGGAAGACTCACCGTCACCCCGTATTTGAGTGCTAGTCCAGCCAGGGTGTCTCCGGGGGCCAACTGATGCTCCAGGCGTCTTTCCCTCACCGGGGAGCAGGCGGACTGCACCAGGCTTCCGTAAGAACGAGCCCGGCTCCCTTGAAGCAGTCCTGACCCCCCGAGGGGGGCCTGTCTAGAGGGAGAAGCCATCTCCTCACCCTGTCGACAGCCGGGGTTGCAGCTAAGGGAGACCTGGCTAAGTGCCCGACAGTGATGGGACTGGGGTCTAGGAACGGATATCCAGGGGATTCCTTTCCCCTTCTGTCTCCCCTCCTAACTCTCCGCCTCCCCCGGCACTTCGCGCCCCCTCCGCTCTCGTTTGTCCTCCTTCCAAGCCCCCCTCCCACAAATCTGTGCCGAGTATTCAGTCCCTACCTGAGTCTATCCTTAGCACCCTGCTGACTTTCGACCCTCTCACAATTCGCTACGTTGACCTCTGACCTTTGAACGTAGCTACCCTCCTCCACACTCCGCTCAGTTTGCCACCCCCCGCCCAGGTCGGGCAGCCCCCGCCTCCTGGGTTCCCCCAACTCCCTGGCTCCGCCCCGTCCCGGGGTTGGTCCGCTAGTGTCAGGAATAAATCCGGCCCACCCCTGGTGGGCTGTCGGCGGCAGAGGAGACGCGTGATGAGCGCGAGAGTTTGTAGTCCACTTTCCACTCAGAGATCCTCCAAGGCCCGCTCCGCATCAAATCTGTCACAGCATCAAAATCGGTCTCCACCTTTAGGTTCTTGTCTCCCCATACGCCTCGAATCAGCCAAGATGCAAGGGCCGGGAGCCAGCTGGGCGGCAAGCTCTTTGAAAAAAAGACTTCATTTCCCAAAGGCCCCGCGCGTGCGGGGTCGCCGGGTCGCACCGGAAGGGCGGTCCCCTCGGCAGGCTGTGGGCGGGCTTTCGGATAGCGCTGTGCACTCAGGGAAGCGCTTCCGGGGAAATAATGAGGCCAACCGGAAGGAAACCCGAAGGAAATAGGAGACGACCCATTCTTGCTACGGTGGCCTGGAAGGAGTGGCGGAGGCAGCTCTGGAGAATTGCTCGCTTCGGGGACTCAGTCGTAATGTCTTTCAAGAGGGAAGGGGATGATTGGAGTCAACTAAACGTGCTTAAAGTAAGCGCGAGAGGAGAGCGTTGGGAGCAGTTTCACTGCCCTGTGAAGGAGCTGTTTTGTTGCTCTGGCAACAGCTGCGGTTGGCGAGGGGGACGCGGGAGGGAGCGGCTAGAGCTGGGTAGTGACCCCTTTTTCGCTCTGTGATTTCTGTTCTCATGGTCCTTATTCCCTTTCAATCCTCGTCCCTGTCGTTTCCCTTCCGTCCCTCCCGCCTATCCGGCCGATTCCGTCCCGTTACCCCCTGTAGAAACGAAGAGTCGGGGACCTGCTGTCCAGTTACATCCCAGAGGATGAGGCTCTGATGCTACGGGATGGACGGTGAGGGCGAGGGGTGATCAAGCCTGAGGGTTCTGCGGTTAGAAGCTTAATAAAATTTTGTTATCAAGGGGGGAGAGCAGAAGTATCTAGGATTCTTTGGTGGGGAGTGAGGGACAGAGATGTGGGTGGTGGAGATTGGGAGACCTCAGAGTTTGGCTTTGGAAAGGATTGCTAGGTCAAGGTGGGACCAACAGCTTAGACCCCACTCACCTGGAACCAAATATCTTCTCTCCTCATCTCCAGCTTTGCTTGTGCCATCTGTCCCCACCGACCTGTACTGGATACCCTGGCCATGCTGACTGCCCACCGTGCAGGCAAGAAACATCTGTCCAGTAAGTTTGAGGGAAGACGGGGGGTTAGAGAATAAACTCTCCAAATGTCTGCAGATACTCTTGCTGTTCTGTTTTTAATTCTCTTCCCCTCAATCCTCAGGCCTGCAGCTTTTCTATGGCAAGAAGCAGCCAGGAAAGGGAATGGACCAGAGTCCAAGACAGCAGAATGAATTGAGGCCGTCAGAGACCAAGGCTGAGGTAGTGGTGGGGTGGGTTGTGTTTCAGGTGGGCCTGCTGTGCATGGTAGGCTTGAAGGGCTTTGACTTCTTTCTAGCTCTGAAGACTCTGACTCTGTTTCCCATCTCCATACCAGGCTCCTCTGTTAACCCAGACTCGACTTACCACCCAAAGTGCTCTGCACAGAGCTCCTTACTATAACAGTTGCTGCCGCCGGAAGTACAGGTCTGTGGGGTTGGAAAGCCAGAGGTAGGGAGGGACAGGGGAGATAAATGGCTCTAAAATGATGGTATTCCAAATTGTATTCTCAGGAATACGAGTATTCCAGAGATGTTAACTGCTATTTCAGAAAAAAGAGGATTTTGCCTTTTTTTTTTTTTAGTTTCAGAAATTGCACTTTGTAATCCTACTTGAAGAATAGTAATAGTAGTATATTTGAAGGCCTCAACAAAGTTTTAAGACTAAAAAAACCTAAAAATTTTTAATCTAGACTTTTAAAAACTCATTTGATTCCAAAATTCTTTTTTATGCAGGGCATTTATTAGTATCTTGAGGAACACAGTTTATTTAGGAAGCACTGCTGTAAGGGGCTGGGAGTCATAGTAGAAGTGGCCCTTTTCCTTTATCACTTTTATAGACAATGATTCTTCTCTACCCAGACCAGAAACCCCTCGTCCCTCTGTCTCCCATTCCCCTTTGCCACCCCCAGAGGTTGAGCCCGAGAGTGGGAAGATCACTAGGGAACCCATGCCTGGGGTTGGCCCACAGGCCAAAGAGCCAGCAACTGTCTCATCCCCTGCACCCATGAGCCCCACAAGAAGACGAGCCCTGGATCATTACCTTACCCTTCGAAGGTGAGTATGCAGAATCACTTTCCTCAAGTTTTCTCTTTTCTCTCTGACTCTCCTTATTTCAATCCTTCTCAATTGTTTTTTTTTTTAAGATTTTATTTATTTATTAGCGAGCGAGAGAAAAACAGCATGAGAGGGGAGAGGGTCAGAGGGAGAAGCAGGCTCCCTTCTGAGCCGGGAGCCCAATGTGGGGCTCGATCCCAGGACCCCCGGGATGATGACCTGAGCCGAAGGCAGTCACTTAACCAACTGAGGCGCCCCCTCAATTGTTTTTTTCTTATCCCCACTAACTTCTTAAACCTCTTTTCCTGACCTATTCTATTTTCTCTGATATTTCTAGCTCTGGCTGGATCCCAGATGGACAAGGTCGCTGGGTAAAAGATGAGAATGTTGAGTTTGACTCTGATGAAGAAGAACCCCCTGATCTCCCCTTAGACTGACACCCTCTTTCCCCACTCAGTTCACAAATAAATTTCAGCGGGCTCTGGGAGCCTAACTTTCCTTGAGTTGGCTTCCATGTCCCATTTCAGGATCTCATTGGTGGATTTTTTTTTTAAGGAGGCTGAACACCCAAAGTGGAGACTGAGGTGGGGCTTGAACTCACGACCCTGAGACAAAGACTTGAGCTGAGATTGAGTCAGATGCTTAACTGACTGAGCCACCCAGGCACCCCCCATTTCAGGATTTCACATCTGCATTCTTATCCTGGCTAACTCTTTCCTACAATGTACACGGCTCCCCATACTTCTAACCCTTCCCCCACCTTCTACCAAAGTCATGCCAAGCGTCAGCTGCACGCAGCCCAATGCCCTATTAATAAGTCTGTCAGAAGGAGGTCTTTGTCCTTCATGTTGTCTGCCTTCTTCCCCACCTCCACTCAAAGTCCTTTCCTCCTTCAGATCACATGAGGGTTGTGGGTAGGCACCAGGGGGCCTGGCCACTTCTGGAAAGAGGGCTGGGGTAGGTCCCTATGAGAGCAGAAGGGACTAACAGCATTGGCAGGGCCATGGGGAACACCAAGGGAGGGAGCTCCCCCACCTCCGCCTAGTAACTTGAGCCTCCCTGCCTGCTGATCCCCAGAGTATAAATAATCCCCTGATGAATTGGCAGTAACCCTTGGGGGTTAGCGCCAAGATTCCCACCCCAGAGCCCAAGGAAGGAGGCAGGCAGAGTGGACAGAAGGGCCTTTATTTACAGGAAGGGTGAGAGATGAGGATTTAGGTATTCAGGGCTCCCAGCTCTAGTTGGTAAAGGGAAAAGGTAGTGTTATCTCTTTTTTTGCTGGCGACCTGTAACAGGAAAGAGTAAACACAAATCTTTGTTGTATCTCCTATTTCCTGCAAAGGTGCCCCTCTTCCCCTTTCCAGTTCCTTGGCCAGACTCATAAAGAGCTAATGTCTTAGGCCAGCAAGCATGCCCACCCCCCATTAACAAAGCAAAATAAGAAATGGCATGGCAAGTAAAAATAACATGCCTACAAACAGGTATGTCTAGATTCTTTTCCACCTTCCTACAGGTATAAATTTGGGGCAGGGGACTTTTCTATCTACTTTCTGGTCACTTACGTCCTTCTCATGTGACTCTTGTTTTGGCAGCACCCCAGACTCTTAGTCACTAAGTCAGCTTTCAGGAGGATCCACTCCCTCCTTGCCCTTTCCCCCACACAACATGTCTGCATTTACTCACGTAGTTCATTGTTCCGGGTCATGGCCTGGGCGGCCCGAGCTCGTGGCCCCTGCTGCGTAAAGTGGTAGCCAAAGCGGACAATGGAGGGACACTGTTCGAGCACGGTGGCCATCTCCATCTCCACTGCGTCGCCAGGCCACTGGCGCTGGGGGAGGGAGAGATGAGACCTGTCAGCTACCCTCTCTGCGTTGTTCATGGTCCCACACCACCCACACCACCAACCTTTTGGGGGGTCAAAGAAGCTTGTTTCGTGACAGTGGGTGAGGAGAGATGCTGACTTGGCTCCCTTCATAAAGACAATGAAGAGAATTCAGATAAGATCAGATGAGATCCTGACCCAGTGGCTGCCCGAGGGAAGAGACTCAGTGAATATTAGCTGAATGCAAAGACCAGGGGAAGGAAATGCTGACCTGGTTGTCTACACGGAGCTCAGTGAGTGTGGCATTTTCCCGAACTGCCTTCAGCACAGCCATGAGCCCGGTGCTGCTGATGAAGTTGGATTCAATGTTCAGGCTCTGGAGGCTACGATTCTCACGCAACATGTCTGCCACCGCCTGGGTAGTAGGGACTTGGGTTAGGATTAGGGGATAGTTTCACAAATGACTGAGGAGAGAGAGAACAGGAGCAAGAGGGAACACAGCTCTTTGAGAAGAGTCCTTGAGGAGCTGTCGGTGGGGCTAGAGGGAGACAGAAGGAAGCGCAGGTAGTAGGGGAAGCACAGAGGGTGAGTGTGCAGCGGAGTTGGTGGGCAGAAGAGAGGGCTGTGGCTCTCTGAGAAGGTGATCTGAGGATCTCCGAGTGTTGAGCCATAGGAGTGAGGGTAGAGTCTCCCCTCAGGCTATGCTAAGAGAACACAACGGGAATAGCACCCCCAGCACAGCCCCTTATGACAGCCCTGGCAGGGGTGCGTGTCAAGGTATGGGGAGAGGGCTAGGGATTTCAAGTTGCCTTACATTGGCAATGGGGTCACCACTCCTTGTGGCCACCAGACTGAAGCTCCGGACATAGGTATTTGTCTTCATTGCCTCACATAACTCCGTTAGCTTGGGTATTGGGATGTCCTGTCAGAGGCGAAGAGATGGCGGGCTAAGGGACTCACATTATCTGGGACTCACATAGTTAAATGGGAATTTATTATTTGAAGAATGGGGAGGTCAGATACCTGTATGTTATTGAGGTTCACCTCCTCCAGCTCCTTATCATTGTTTCGAACACTCTTTAGGATCTCCTCAATGTTTGTGGGATTTGGGGGCTCATCTGGCACTGGCTTATACTTGTCCGGTTGCACCACACCTGGTGGGTGAGGGCCAGAAAGAAACCCCAACATGTCCTCCACAATCTCCTCCCCATTGGTTCTCTTATTATTCATGTACCACATTCTCTCCATGATCCCCTTGTTTCGCCCTTTGCTACCTTTCCTCAGACCTTGGTACCACCTGCCAAAGCCCTGGGCATCATGCCCCCAGACACACTCACTGCTAATGCCTTCCGTGTTGCAGATCTCTCCACTGCAGATGGCATCATAGTATTGCTTGTTGCTCATCAGCGTGTACATGCCCAGGATTGCTGGAGAGAGCAAGTAGAGGGGGGACAGGTTTCTTCCCAGTCCTCCTCCCTCCTCATATTCTGAATCGGTTGTAGTTTTAAAGCCTGACCTTCTCCACTCTTCCAGTGAGGTTCCCACTCTCCCTAGGTCCCAGAGTGCCCTTAACTGAACAGCTTAAGGTGGTGGCTTTTAAAACTTTGAGGCAGGACTAAGGGAAGGTCCCTAAGGAACCCCCAGAGGGTGAGGGAGGGAAAAACAACAACAGTGTTCCACATTCAGGGAAAAAAAGCGTGAGGGAGTCTGTCAGACTTCCTCCTCTTTTCAGCCAGGATAGTTCCACTTTTATCTGCTTTAAAATTCCTGTCAAATTGCCTTTGAGATGTGAACTTACTAAATTAAAAAATGAATGAGTGAATATATAAACAAACAAGCAAAAAATAAAAACTATGGCCTGAGGCTTTCTCTAACATCCATGTCCTGTTCAGGGCCTTCCTCACTAGTCCCAGGCCCTGGGTAGGAACCCCTGGCCCTGGTGTCCCCACCCTCCTCAGTGTCCCACAGCTGCCCACCTGCAATGTCACACATTTCAGCATCTGTGGCATTGGCCAGTGCCTCTTCCAGTTCAGGCTCCAGAGTGATCTGCTCCTGTACAGGAATTTCTCTCTTGGGCTGAATATAGGGTTTCCCTGATGGGGAGATGAAGGATGGTTGAGGTAGAGGTCTTTCCTCCTAAGATCCTGGTCTCCAGCTTCCTTTCTTTCTCCAGGAGGTGGAGGTCTGGGTCATTAGGGGCCACTGTAAAGCCTGAGTCCTCTACCAGCTCAGGATTCCTGGGTCCCCTGATCTCTTCTAAAAGTTGAAGAGTGAAAGATGGCATGTAGGTTTCAGGGTGGCCGAGTCCCTGGGCAGCTAGGAGCTGGAAGGGGAGAGGGAAGCTGGAGGGGGTACACTTGAGAGACAACCATTTGGGTTTTGGTAGGCATGGTTGTTAGGGTCTCCGTACCTTTCTTCTCGCCTGTGAAGGGCACCAGGTCATCACGCTCTTTGACCTCTAGTGCCTGCTGCTCTAGGTACTGCAAAAGGGCATCCCGGTCCAGCGGCCCCGTTGGACTCTTCTTCGTCTGGTCACGTTGTCTTAGTCCAGCTGGCAGGAGCATGTTCTGAGGGATGAGTTTTGGGGAGCAAGTCGGACCTCTTCTCTGATCTGGGGCACCCCCAGGGCTCCCTAAGACATCTACAGACACCCTTTCCCTGGCCCCCTTGCGACTCCAAGCCCTGTGGGCAGCCCCGATCTTAGCCACCCAGGGCCCCTCACCCTTCCCAAATGCCTGGAGACTGTCCCTGGTTCCCTGTGCTGGGGCCCCTACCTCAGGGTCCATCTCCTGTAGCTCGCAGTCCAGCTGCTCTAGCTCCTCGGGGCTCAGGGTCCTTAGGATCTCATCTTCATCTATGTCTCTGTATTTCTCCAGTTCCTTCTGATACGATGACATGATGGCCCCCACCCCCTCCCCACTGTGTGGCACTCACGGAGCCTGGGGGACATGGGGAAAGTGATTGGATAATGGAAAGATGTCCACAGATGCAGCAAGACATAGACCAGCCAGGAGGTAGAACAATGAACTAGATGCCTTGGAGGTTAGAAATCTAGTTGGGCATGGGAAGATGGGAGAAGGTTAGGTTGTTTAGTTAGAACCAGAGCTTCCTTCTTCCTGCTTCCCCAGCTTCAACCAACCACCCTGGATGGGGATCCCAGGCATCCAAGCTGGATTTGTCTGCCCATTGTATGACAAGAGAAATCCTGGCAGCACCCTCCCCTACAACCTTGCCCGTTGGTGCCTCTTGCCCAAGCACAGCTGCCAGGGCCCCTGCCAACACAGCTGGCCCCATGCCCGGTTCCTATTGAAAGGAAGGGGGGGCAGAGAACTTCAGGGAAATTCCTCCTCTTTTCCCCATCATTCAGCCTTTTTCCTAAACTGGTTTAAGAAAGCAAGGGGGTTGGGGGAAAAGAGTTCTCTTACCCTACCCTCGTTTCTTCTTTTATTGTGGGGGAATCAAGATTTCACTTTTTATGTTTGCTAAAACTCTAAATCCCAAGGGAAAGCAAGGGCTCAGAGGAGCTGGGGGACTTCCAGGTTGGGGGAAGGGTGGGACGGTCTCAGAAGGGACTGAGTCCCCACAATTTGTCCCTGGCTTTGGATGGGAAGGTGACACCGGACCAATGGGTGGGAAATGCCTTCTAAATGCGATAAAGTTTCTCTAAAAACAGTGGGAAGATTAAACTTGCACAGTCTTTTACATTATGGAAAATATACACAAGCTACACATACACACCATGCCAAATATGAAAGATCCAGAAAGTGTGTGAGATACTTGCATTGACAATGTAAACTACGGTTAAGTGATAGGACGGACGGTGGCAGAAACATACGCCAAGGGACAGAGACACACTCCGTATCATTCCCAATAGGAGTCACCCCTCTCCTCCCATCTCCCACCAGGCTCTGACCCATAAGCCCCCTGCCTTCCCCACCTACCAGTCCTGGTGGCCACCACCCTTCTCACCTCCCCTTCTGTCGGTTGGTCTGTCAGTGCTACTGGAGCACTGTCCCAGCAGCAGGAGGAGCCCAGTGCCGGGGAAGAGGGTGGGGGAACAGTGAGCTCAGCATTTTATTATTTTAGCTCTGGCCAGGTGGGGGGTAGTGGGAGATCACATATACACAGCCCCCATACCCTGCCCAGCCCTGAGAGCCTCTAGTGGCCACGAACAGCCATGACACTTCCTTTCCTTCCTGCATAGAGAAATCTGAGTCCTAGAAACTGTTCTAGGACAATCACCTAGTTCCTACTTACTTGGTGCCTTGCAGTGAATATAAGGTGATATAAAGGTAAGTATAAAAATTTTGTTTGGATGTCTAATTTAAAGGTGTTTATAATCCAGCTGGAGGAATGAATACTTAGAATCTAAAAAGGGAAGTTCACAATAAACGCTATTAAACAAAATAAAGACCCATATATACTCAGACATTCACAAAGACTTCTTGCTCCCAACTCTAGATCAGACACCAGACAAAGGGGATCTTTCTCTTTTATTAGATTAAAAAACACAAAACCAGTAGGCACTGGGGGGGGCGGGAAGAAATACATAAAAGGGCTGGGCAAAGCTCAGAGCTGACAAAGGGGTGAAGCAGGGAGAGAAGGGGAAACATGATGAAGAGCCCCAAGTCAGGGCAGGAAAGAGGTTTCCAAGGACTAAACATCTCCTTATTTGATGACAATTTTCTGGCGCAAGGCTCGGGGCCCAGAACCAGGGAGGGGCTCAGGAGGCGGTGGGCCAGGGCCCAGCGCCGAGGCAGTGGGCGGCAGTCCGTGGGCAGTGATGTACTTCTTGTAGGCTTCACGGATGATCTTGAAGGCTCGAGCAGTGGCATAGGGAATGTCTGTGACAGGGTCCCGGTACAGGGCTGGCCGATGGGTCACGGGGCAGACCTCCCGAACGGGGACCTTTGGAGGCCGCCCTTGGGGAAACCATTCCTCAAATGTCGCATCATCGCTAAAAGTGATGAAGGTACGGGAGCAGCGAGCTGGAGGGACGACGGGTCCAGTGCCAGCACGGGGAGTCAGTGCAGAAGCTGCGGGAGTAGGGTCCAGTCTAAGTGGGGAGAGAGAGAGAGAGACACAAAAACCTCTGAGGAGGGAAAACAACCGATAAAGAATGAGATCAGACAGGCAAGGAAAGAGAGGAAGGAGACAGAGCGATGGGAACTTTCTGAGAGAATCTAAGTGACAGATGACAAAAAGCAAGCTGGACTGGATGGAAAAACAAGAGAGGGGAGAGGCTCAAAGAAAAGCTGAGGGAAGAGGACTCTGAAGGACATCTGTGTGTTAGAGAGATGTGTGAGGACAGCTGAGGAGGGCAGGGAGAAGGCTCCCTCCCCTTCTTCCCTCGGACATACTCACCCTTCCACATCCACATTCTCCTCTTTTGGGCCTGGCTCCCCAACAAGCGGCACTGTCACCGAATGATAGGTGATTATGGGCCCGGGGCACTTCCGCTTCTTGTGCACCTGCTTCTTTTTGTCAGCCTCGAGCCTCTCATATGTCTCTTCAGGGTCAAAGGAAGGAACGAGAGGATGGTGAGTTCCCCCTGTGCCCACACCCACCACTGTCCCACAGTCTTTCGAGGACCTTCCTGGCTGTCTAGTCCCTGCCTAAGCCATTCATGCAAATCCTCTGAGGCCCCCTAGCACCTCTACTTCTGACGTTTTCTGTTTGCCGCCAACATCCTCTCTGCCCATCTCTCCTGACCACTTGGTTCTTCACGCACTCAGAACAGTGGGACTTCAGGGCTAGAAGGGACCCTGCGATAAGAAGCCTGTTTCCCTCCGTATTCCTCTACAGCCGCCCTGTCTACTTGATCCCAGCAAGAGCAGCATGCTGCATCTTCAGGCATCTTTAGTCACTACAGAGTTCCTTCCTATTTTAAGCTGAAATACGACGACTGATGACACTGTTTTACCTTTTTGGGCTATAAAGGATGCAGTTCTAATCTGTCTTCCACATGACAGTCCTTTACACAGTTGAAATTAGCGTCCGTGTCTCCCCAGGCTGATCACAATGCCCACTTCATCGAGCCATTCCTCGTACAACATGGTTCTGAGACACACTCTCAGAGGGTGCTAGCTGGGCAGCCTACTTAAGTGTTTTGTGTGATCTGTTTTGTACCGTATTTTTAAGTTTTTTTTTAACATGTATTTATTTGAGGGAGCGGAGAGAGCGCGAGAGCGCATGGGGGGATGGGGAGAGGGAGAGAATCCTCAAGCAGACTACCTGCTGAGCTCAGATTCTGATGTGGAGCTCTGTCCCAGGACCCTGAGATCATGACCTGAGCTGAAATCAAGAGCTGGATGCTTAACTGACTGAGCCACCTGGGTGCCCCAAGGAAATTACATTTAAATACAGAGATTTCTGGTTCCTCTTAAAATGACAAGAAAATCTGGCAACCCTGCATCTGCACTGTCATGTGGCAACAATGACCTGAGCAGAATAACTGCCTCTCCCTCTGAGCGCTCCGCTAATTCACCACAGTCCCCTGGCTGGACCTGTGACACTGTGCTATGGCAGGCAGTTCATGGTTGGTACACACGTCTCCTCCTCAAGGACCATGACTGTGACTCACATTACCTATATATTATCAGGGCCAGGCAGTGTTCCACGCATTACAGGCACTCCACAAGTATCTGTTAATGCTCAGTAGGTCAAAATATTCCTGTCCCTTTCCTGTGAATGAACTCCAAATTTGTTTCTTAAATGTGGTACAATCCTCTAGATAGTCAGACCAGAAAAGTGTGCTCTGGCAACCCCACCAATGATTTAGCCTCTTTTGTACTTGGAATTCTGGTTGGTAATATTACTTCCTTTCCCTTCAGCCAAGCTTCCAACACTTCTCCTTTCAAACACTTCCCTGTACCTTCTGGAAATCCTGCTCCATAATCAGCCATCTCATCTATGTCCCCAAGTTCCCCACTCAGCAGGCCTTCCACACCTTGTCTTCCTGGGAGCCTGGGATCCCGTCAGGCCACCACTCTCCTGGTAGCCCTCTGGTGGAGGCTGCTCACCCCGCCACATCCCAAGCAGGGTGCACCTGTGTCCTGCTGAGCCCACACTGCAGCTTTAGATCACGGCTCCTCTACCCATCTGCATTTCCCTTTTGAGACGTATGCCACCAGGCTAGACCACTTCTCCTTCCTGGCATGCTCACTCCGTCACTCACTGAATTTCTGCTCTTCCTCTCCACCTCCTCTCCACCTCTCCTATCATCCTACATCACCCTGGTGACCTCAACATGTACACGGGTAACCCCTTCAACATCCCATCCCCACAGTTTCTTTACCAATCTCATCTCTTAACAATTTTCCTGTCCGTGACACTTGAGCTATCCCATTCCGCTACAGCTACAGCCTATACTTTGTTATTGCCTGGAACTGCCCCAGCTCTGAAATACTACAGTCACACATCCCAGGCTCTGGCCACATTCTATCCTTTGGGTCTGTTTGCTCCCTACTCTAGATGCCTCTGTTCTTCCTTGAGACCTCCTGTACATGGACCTCTCCACATTCTCTCTCCCTAGCAGCCCCTTCCAGTCTTCATTTTCCTTTGTAAATCAAGGTTATTTCAGTCACTCTCATCGACTCCCTGGCCCAGACCTGGATTGCTGAGTGCTCCTGGAGAAATATTATGCAACGGGGTAGACTGGAACTACCATGAACGCATGTTCCCAAAATTCAACAGAGCCCCCCCCCAAATCAGAATATTCCATCTCAACTATTTCAAACACTCTTCACTCTCCTCAAGCTTTCAAGCCTATGCCCAACATCTGACAGGTGATAGGGCCTAAAAGACATCAGATGAGAACCACTCCAACGTCCTGCTGTGAGTTTACTAACCTTCAACTCTAAGTCATCCTCCAACCCTTCCTCCTTAACTTAAGCCAATTCCTCCATTTGTGCTCTAGCTACCCCTTCCCTCCACCTCCCACTTCTCCAAAAACCCACACTATTAACTATCCTTTCTTT